GATTTATTAAAAATGCGGGATGAAGAAGAATATGCCTTAATACATTCTGAAAATGATATGGTAAAAGTATTTTTTCAACTCAACGAAGCAGGATACAAACCCTACATTAAATATGGCAATTCCGGACAAATTGCTAATATTATGTGTAAGTTTTATTACAAAAAACTCAAAAAATACATTAAATATAATATTGTATCACAGAGTTTATCAAAAGATAGGATTGATGAAGATGTGGCGGTTGATGATGAAGACACATATAATAATATTGTTAGTGCTATGTTCCGATTTCAAAAGGACATGTTTAAGGAAATCCACTTATCATATTACAATGAAGTTGATATTAAGATATTGAAGGAGTGTAAAACTATTGTCCCTGTTGGGAGGTTTCATGACACGAATGTTAAGATTAAAAAGTTGAGGGAGATTGACATTAGAAAGGCATTTACCTTTGGCGGGTGCTGTATCAAATACATCCCCAGATTTACTGAGTTTGATGTGTTTAAACCCTTTACTCAAAATTGCGATATTAATAGTCTTAATAATTTAACTTTATACATTGTAGAAGTCTATGAGGGAAACATATTTTTTAACAAGAAATATAATCTGATTTACGGTAAGTTTTTAAAGCAGTTGTTAAAGCGTGATATTAAGTTGAAGATATTATATTACAAACAACCTAATCATGTTTATAAAGTTAATTACAAGAAAATAATTGATGAACTCTATTCTACAAACATATCAAGCAATGAAGATTTAAATAAGCAACTACAAAAGAAAGTAGCAAACATAAGCATCGGTATGCTGGAAAAATCGCATAACACATCACAGAAAAGTAGCACATTTAACTCATTGAGAGAGGCGTGTTATTATCAAAAGTTGAATCCAAACAGCAAAATCTATACAATCGGTCAGTACCAAACAGAATTAGAAGAATTAGAAGATGATGAAATGAGAGTCAGGGATACAGAAGGCATGACATATTATGTATTGAATGTGTCAGATAAAAAAGTATTGAGCAACGGTTTTACATACATCAAAGAGCTTTTGCTACAATACCATAATTTCAAAATGTATGAAACATATAAAACATTAACTGATAGTAATATTAAAGTGTATAGTGTTAAAACGGACAGTTTTACTATCCACGAAGACGATTTGGATAAAGTTTATGGATATACTTATTTGAGAAAATGGCGGGAAGGACTGCTGAAATTTGGCCATGAGATAGGCGACTGGAGACTGGTGGGACACCCTGTGTCCCAGCACTTGGGAAGTGAAACTTCCCAACTGGAAGAGAAGCACACTATAACATTACCAACCCAACCATATAAGTATAAGTTTAATGAATTACCTGAAATACCGAAGATTAAGAATATTAATATGTCTATTGAAGATGAATGGAATACTGAAAGCATTTGTAAAAAAGTTATTAAACAAAATCCAGTAATTATTAGGGGTAAATTTCCGGGCACAGGCAAGAGTTATATAGGTCAGTATTTCCAAAAGATGAATAATAATGTATTATTTGTAGTGCCTACCAACCGACAACTACAAGAAATACAAGATAAAGGAATAGAAGCAACAACATATAACAAGTTTTTTAGCATTGCCGTTCATGAAGATGTCGGAGAGAAATTACCAATTTATGATTATTCGCCTTATGATGTAATAGTGTTTGATGAGATTTATATGTTGAATTTATACACTTTGAATAAAGTTTGGCAGTTTATGGAAAACAACACTCATATTATCAGAATTGCTACTGGTGATGTAAAACAATTAGAAGGGGTGGAAACCATGACAAACTGCCAAGACCCCGCAACATACATTGACAACTGTATAGACACAATGTTTAAATATAATATTTTCTTAAAAATATGTAAGAGAGTAGGAGCAAAGGACAGCGTAGAAGGAGAAAGAAACAGAAAAATATTAAATGATATGTATAATGACTGGTGGGAAAACAACATTCCACGCAAAGAGTTTATACTTAAATACAGTTATTTAACCGATGACATCATGGCATCAGAGCATAATATCGCTTATACCAATATGAGATGCGAAAATGTAGCAAATGAGATTAGAGACAGATTAAACATAAGTGAGAAATATGTAGTGGGTGATATTTTGGTTTCCAGAACATGGATTAAACAACCAAGGGTTAATATCAATTTGAGGTACAGGATTACAAAGATAGAAGATGATGAATTAGGGAAGCAAATAACATTACAGAATATAGCAAGACAAGAAGATGAGTTTATGTTGTTTGAACCTATTGTAGATAAAAACTTCATCTATCCTTACTGTGCTACTTGTCATTCAAGCCAGGGGTCAAGCGTCAGGAAAGCATAACTATTCACGAATGGGACTTACCCATAACCAGCAGAGAGTGGATATGGACGGCATTGACTCGCTGTGTTGATTTTAGGAAAGTTAAATTTTATTGTAATCCAGACTTTGATAAGCAAATGGATAAAAATATGATAATGAGATATTTTAAAAACAAAGTAGAAAATTATAAGATACAAGACCGTCGCGCTCAAAGAGAAATTAATGAGGAAGAATACATTAGTGCTGAATGGTGTTTATCACAGTTTCGCGCCAGATGCCAAAAGTGTAATACTTCATTTAACTTTGAAACGAAGAAAGGTAAATTATGTAGCAATTTTACTTGTCAGCGCCTTGATAATTCAATCGCTCACCATATAGATAATTCAACTTCATTCTGTGTATATTGTAATGTTTCAGCTCATTAAGATTTTAATATTTTTTATATTAAAATCTTAGTTTTAGACTAAAAAAGGTTTAAAGAAATAATACCTATATATAGTAGAGAGTAATGAAGGAACAAGAAGTAAATAATTATATCAATAAGAAATGCTATGACTGTTGCCACTTCAAAAAAGAACATATGGAATTATACAAAATGAATTTACCTAATGGAATAGTTAATAATATTATTGATTATGCTTTGGGTGAAGAAGATGAATGTAAAATTTGTCAGGAATGGAGAGATAATCAAGAATTAATCAGATGTCATTTAAATCTGAAAAGAAGACATAATAGAAATGTTGAAGACGACATTATAATATTTTTAACTGTGTATGAAAGACCACCTTATAGTTATGTTAGAATATTTCTCAAAATCGGTAAGAAAAAGTATGACATGATTAACCATATATTATGGATGTTGTTGAATCGTAGGAAAGACGGGTCTGATTTAAAAGGAGACATTAAATCATATATTGAAAGCAACAAGTTTAATGTGAAAAATACCGTGAGAGATATCAATATTATTTTTGAACTGATGCATGACAGACGTAAGATATATACACAATTTAATAATCATCAATTAACTTATTATCCTGAATTTAAATTATAAATAATATTATCAATATAATAAATCTTAATTTATTATATGGATAAACAAAAAATAATTAGTGATATTTACTATGACAAAAGCGGATACGGTAGTAAAGCAATAACTTTGAAAGATTCCAGACAGAAAGATAAAACTATTACTATGAGTGATGTAAATGAATTCTTTAAAAATAATATTGAAGAGAAAAGAAAACCAAGAGGGCAAAATAGTTTTGTTGCTCCTCATGCCTTCTGGGAATTTCAGTTAGATTTGTTTTTTATTTCAAAAAATGATTTGGAAAATCAAAAGTTTAGAATTGGATTAATATTAATTGATATATTTAGTAAATATGCTACTGTAATACCTATTGCAAGTAAGCAACCGCCAGATGTATTAGCAGGAATTATGGAAGGCATTAAGAAAATGGGCGGAAAAGCCAAAATGATATACAGCGACGAAGAAGGCAGTTTGTTTAGTTCTACCATTACAGATTATCTTGATGAGGAAAAAATTGAATTACACACCACGAGAGGCCACCCTGCTTTTGGAGAAAGATTTATTAGAACCTACAAAGATATGCTTTTTAAAAGAGTTGATGCGGATGAAAAGAAAGGTAAAAACAATATACAATGGATAGATTACAATTTAGAAATATTATTGACATATAATAATAAATTAGTAAGTTCCGTTACGAAAATGACACCATTAGAAGCAAGGAAGAAAAAAAATGAGTTTGAAGTGAAACTGAATATATCAATGAATGCCAGAAAAACCCGTGTGTATCCTGATTTAGATGTAGGGGACAAAGTCAAGATAATGAGAAAGAAAGCGATTAGTGAGAAAGAGAGAACCAGTCATTATTTGAAAACTATTCACACCGTAACTAAAACAGAAACAAAGTTAGGGCAGAAATATTATTCTGTTAGTGATTTTCCCAAACCTCTATTGCGACATGAAATGTTGAAATTATAGTTTTAGACTAAAAAGGTTTAAAGAAATAATACCTATATATATTAGAAAGATAATGAGTGATACTGAAAGTGAGAATGATATGTATAAAATTGAAACCTTTGATGATTTAGAAACAGCAAAACAACAAGTATTAAGTAATTATGTGTGTAAATGTTGCGATGTTTATTTTTGTAAAGATTGTGCTAAAACAAATGCCAGATTAAAAATGTCATCAAAATCATTACCTATTGATATTATACAGAACATTTCAAATAATATCAGATGTAAGAAATGTGAAGAAATGATATGTATAATAAAACACCGAACACGATATGGATATGACAATGACAACTTTGATTTATATAGCATCAAATTAGCATATTATATTGATTTAAACGGTGATGATTTACCAACGATTGAAGACTTACAAAGCATACCGAAATTACAGCATTTAAGCAACATACATTACAAAGTTTTGGTAATTTTATATTGGAACATCAACCATGAAAAACAATGGAAGCACTGGAAAAGAAACACCATGAATTATTTTTGGGATACAAACGGCGAAAGTATGGAAGATGCTTATGATGAGTTTAATGACTTGTTCAAAGAGTTGATTGACATTTTACATTATATTGACATGAATGAGGATAAGAGACATAATATACTTTACGGTCATTGTTTTGGTATGGAAATTGCTGACAAATTAAATGAAGTTTTCTTCAATGAAGACAGTGAAACCGAAAGTGAAGGTGATGAGGTGAGAGAAGAATTTGAATATATAAGCGATTTCCAGTTGTAAAGTTTTTGCTGGTGAAAAAATCCGATTTTGGTAATCTTTACTGTTTAATTATATTATCCTTAAATAATATAATTGAATACATACAATCCCGAGTGAGTTAATCTGTGAGTTGTTGTCGGGTTTATGTAATTGTCTATTGTATGGTTTGTTGTTTGGTTTTTTGTTTGGTTTGTTGTTTGGTGGTTTTTTTCGGGACAGGTGGCTTACCCAGACCTTGATATTTATTATGCCTAAAACCATTTAAAGGGTAGAATGCTTTTTATAGTAGAAGATTATGGAAAGGAAATATTGCTCGTGTTGTGGATGTCATAAGGATGGAAATGTATTTACCGATAGTTGTAAAACTTGTGATAGATGCCGTGAAAGGCAGAAAAAGAAAGACCAAAGAAAGAGACTGAAACAAAACGCAGTCAAGCAACAGAAAGAAATAGAAGAAGGAGAAAAACAATATTGTTCACATTGTAAAGTTCATAGAAAGATTGAATTATTTTCAGAAAATCATAAAACTTGTGATTTGTGTAGAGAAAAAACGAAAATCTACTCGCAAACATGGAGAGATAATCATAAAGAGGAGATAAGCGAAATAAATAAAGAATATGGCATGAAAATATTTGTGTGTTCTGTTTGTGATTGCGAAGTCAGATTGAAACATAAGGCGAGGCATGAAAAAACAAAGAAGCATATTGAGAATTTAAAAAAGAATGAGGTTGAGGATAGTTGAAATGGTTTAAGTTATTCTAGAAAAATGAATAACTTGAAACATTTTATGAATTATTATATGGGATTTGGTGAGTGGATTGATATTTGGAAACATGTTTAAGCTTTTTATGTGGATTTGGGCGGTGCGTTGATAAATGCTGTTGGGCGGGTTTGGAAAAGAGGGTAGATGAGGTCTGGGTATGCTACCGCTTGCTAACACCCCCCCCGATGAATGAACTGGGGTTGATTCATGTCGGGAGTATACCCCAGGGCCAAAGGAAAGAACGAGGTCACCAAACGAGCCTCAGGTACTTGACCCCCGACTTTTGGTGCGAGGACGCTTCGTTCGCAGCGAAACGACTCGGACGCCGAAGCCGATCCGTCGATTTGCTTGGCGGGGAAGTGAGTTGCCCCGGTTTTTACCCCTGTCTCCCCCGTTTTTGGGGAAAGGACTTCCCTCGAAGGTCAACCCACCCCCAAAAAACGTTGGGCCTCGCTTTCGCAGGGCCTCTCTTCTGAAAGTAGTTGAAAAGTGTGGCCGATAAGGCCCATAGCCACAGGTCCAACTATACGGAGCTTTTCTCAGCACATTTGAAAATAAGACTCGCGGACTTTCGCGAAAAGCTGGGGGGGGGGGGGGCTCGCAAAACCTTCCATGTCAATTGCGGTCACATATGACGGCTCAAATGAGCTACCCAAACTTGATGCTTCTTTTTGGGGACAGTCCACGGTTTCGGGGCATCCAATTTCAGCACCAGGCTTGATGCAAGTTCTGCTTGGCTTGGATTAGCTGAGTACACACCACAGGAAGTGGCAGGCTGGGACTTTTCGATTCCCCCCCCCCCCCACTCGCACAGAATCAGTTTCACTTCAAAAAAACGGGCCTTTGATTAGTTGCCGCCTGCCCCAACAAGGGAGTATTTGCCTGGCAAAGCCAGATTGTCCAGGAAAGCCGGCATCTGGAGGGAGTCAGGGTTGTTCCTTGTTCTCATCTGAAGCACTCGACTGGCTTTTTTCTAACTCATGTGAGCTGGCAGAGTATTTTCCTGGACGTATTCTTAGTCTGGGGAGCAGAGGGGGTGTCTTGTTGTTCTCCCCGCCGAAATTCCTCGGGGCCGTTCCGCCCTTCTTCTTTTTCTTCGCCCAACGACAAATCCACCTTCACCCGTCCCATCATCGCTTTGTTCGCTGGGGCGATGTGTTCCGCCCTCTTTTTTTGTTCTTCGCCCGGCCCCAAAAAACCTTCACGACCAAACAAGTCTCGTCGATCGAGGAGTCCTGTGCGGACGGGTACTACCGCAACGGCACGGAGAAGGCCAACGGCTTCGATGCGAGGGAAGGGACCGTGCGAGCTTCTCTCAGCATGGGCTCGTGCGTCCTTTCAGATTGAACCCCCCGTGGCTTTGGGGAGTTTTTATTGGTTTCTCTTGAACCCCCCCCCCCCAAAAAGAAAAAAGCAATACCCTCAACAAACGGACAGCTGTAAACCCCCCCCCCCAACAAAAAAAAAGAAGAAGAACAGAAACAAAAAACAACAATATACCCTCAACAAACAGACAGCTGTTCGTTGGATGGGAAGCCAAAAGGAAGCCGTTGAAAAGAAGCGGGAAAAAACCGATGCCTCTTTGAGAAACACCCCGATGTGTCCAATGCGCCATCTTTTGGGCCATAGGCATAAGCAGAGGTTCTTTGGTAGGGGTGATGGTTTGAGGGGAAATATAGGAACCCCTGTGCCCAGAGCAACCTTTTGTTTCCTTTTTCAGCAGGAAGGGGCGAGTCCGGTAGAATCAACGGAGATGATTTGGGTTCCCGAGCCCAAAGGGAAACCGTTGAAGGGCGTCCTTTCCCATTCTGTTTGAGGGATCAACAAAATGGGCGAATCCCCCAGCGCTGAGAAAATTTGTGGTTTCTGCGGAGAACGACGGGTGCGGCCAAACAGCCCAAACCACTCCTGATTCGATTCGCAGTCTCGACTTCGGGACTCTTAAATGTCACATATTGAGTGGCCAAACATCCTCAAATTGGCTGCAATTTGCTGATGGGTCTTTCTTGTTTTTCTCACAGGAATTGGGGCGCAGGCCTTTGTGCAAATTCACCGGTCGCTTTTATATCAGACCAGCCATGAGGGCAATGGAGCCGTGAGGATGTCACTTTGGGCCCTGGGCCCTGTCTCTCACTCTGGGTACCTTCCCCCCCCCACGTGTGCGCAACGATTTCCATTTTGAGCCTCAAAAGAACAGAGACGCCCATTTGTAGAGGGATTGATTCATGAGGTATGCCGGAAATTGTTGTTTTGGTAGGGGATCGGTTTTCCACCCTCAGGATCCTGAGGCTAAAATGACAAACAAATGGGCCCCCAAATTCCATCAGGGCCATTCAGCCTTGCTCTTTGAGGGTGTCAACCCACGCAGAAGGACTCAGGCACTCGTCTGGAAGAATCAAATCTACACCACAAAGACTCGGCTGGTTCTCCGGGAACTGTTTTGGACAAAACCCGGAGTCCTTAAAATCTATGCGCCCTGAAGTATGACAAAGCGAGTGTACGGGTTCGTCAAAATTAGAGGCCCTTTTGGTATCGCCTTTGGCAGAACCAGGGCCAATGGGCCATATTTTGGACCCACATGCAGAGTGGGATGGCACGCTTTCGAACGCGGCGGTCACGGGAGGCCTTGATTTGGGTCTGTCTTTTGTTGTTACCTTACTTGGGGTTGGCAAGGGAAACTCCGCGGAATTTCCGAAGCCATTTTTGGGGGTTTACAGAGCTCGGTGGCGAAGCCAGCCATCCGGTTCAACGTAGCTTTCTAGATCCTGGTTTCCGAATTCAACCCACTAAAAGTTGGGGGATCTGAGTGCAGCCCAGAAAAGGGGCACCCAAACAAGACGAGCCATGGTTCAGTGAAGCTATGCCAGGCCAGTTAGTCACTGTTCGCGGAGCTGAAAACGGGCCCAGAGAAAGGGGAACCAACCGCTGCCCGGAGGTGGGCCGGAACTGCGCCCGCTGCCCGGAGAATGCCATGAAGTGCATCGGGCCCTCGTTGATCACCGCCGCTTGACATCGCGGCGGGGCGGGGCGGCCTCGAAGCGACCTTGTCGACCTTTGGGGTGTCCATGTTTGATCCGTGGGGTGTGCTTTCCTCAGGGAACCCTTTGTACCTTGGTTCAAAGGGAAACTCAAAGGGAGACCGAAGCCATTGTCACCGTCCACTATTCTGACACGGGCCCAGTTTTAGTGTCCCGAATAGTTAAGCCATGATTTCCAGGTCCTTTGGGCAGACATTCTCGATCACATGACCTCTGCCCTTCAGGTTTGTAGTTGAGGATGGATGCCCCTAGCCTCCCTAGCCTCCCTCCCACAAAAAACCGACAGAAGGTCTCCTGAGCCAACAATGGTCTTCCACAGTCCAGACATCCTGACCAAAGCCCAATGGAGCACTACAACATGTTATACAGAATCCAGAACTGCAGCTCCTTGCTGACGCCAACAGGGAGCTCTGCGACCTCCAATCAGGTTCTGCGCAGGTTCTTTGCACGCCTTGGAAGGGCGCGGCTGAAAATTGGTGAGTTCCTGGGACCCCACAGGGCCGGTCTTTTGGATCTTCGCCGCCTTTGACCGAACAAAGATGGCCAGGGTACCATCAAACGATTGATTTCGGTCTCGGGGACCCATGATGAAAGCTCTTTTCACCAGGTTTGGGTTTCCCCACCTCGTTTGGGTTTAGTGATTGGTGAATTCATTGCAACTTACCCAGAAGTGTATGGGTGTGGCTTTTTCTAGGGGACCCCCCAAAAGTTTAAAAGCGGTGGTGTTCTTCTTGCTTTTCCGTTAAACCAACCCCAAACGGGGACCCTCCCAAAGAGACCGACCAGCCCTGGGCCAAGGAATGCCGAGATTGGCAGTACCTCACCCCGGATGGCACTTGCCAACCCAGTTGTCCAGAAGGCGGGCAATTCTTTTTTTCTTTCCCAAGTGCGCTGTGTGGAGGCATATTGCAAAGCCTTTTTGACACACAAGGCAGGGCATAGTTCCCTACGCCTTCTTTTGCTTACACGGCTTTGCCAGCTTTTGGCTGACCTTGCCTCTGCCAAACTTGACCGCTTCACACAGCACACACTGCTTCTTGCCTGGGTTGATATTGCCAAACCGCTGGAAAACAGGGTTGAGAAAGGTCAGCAAGGTGCGTTGCCTTGCGAGATTTCGTTGCGCGTGGCTGGTGGAAGCTGGAGAAGTAGCCTGGAGGATTGGTTCTACCTGATGAGCGCTGATGCTGTTTTGTAGTTGAGCCGCGATGCCGGGCGAACTGAGAAGCCCGACAAGGGAATTCCATAAAGAAATCAATCGACTTGGAGCTTGTACCACAAGAGGTTCTCCCTTGCTACCTGTGCAGAGGTTTGCTTGAAGCCAAACAAGACTTCTCCCGTCCTTTGAAGCCCTCCTGGTTTGAGATGAACCCAACGGCCAACGGCCAACAAACGAATCGCACCAATCAGCGAGTTCCACCAACCCCAAACCAACCGGTCAAACCCAAAAGACAGCACGACTACCAATCAAGCCAGATAGAAACAGTGCAGACCAGCTATGCAAACAACAAGTGAGAATGGCCAAACAACAGGGGCCCTTGGGAATATGTGTTTTTAGGGATCAAATGATAGGTTGTGCCAAAATAGGGGACCCTACAAATCGTTGTTTTTAAGTTGATTCCTCCTTTTTGAGTTACCTCGAGGATATTTTTTCGGAAGCAAGGCCAGGTGGTCCGGCTGGATACCTCAACCCTGCCCCAAAAAGCACCTCTAGGGGTTACAATTCCTACTTTGAGACGAACCCGCAAAACCTGGGTTTAGGGTACGTGAAAGGAACATGTGAATCCACCCCCAACGGAAAACAAAAACAACCAAATATAATCCCATAGGCTATAATTTCAGTTTTCCTTTGGGGGTAGTGTGGTGGGGGTACCACATGTTTGTGGAACATGAGAGGTGGACCACTTGGTTTCTTGAAAAAATGGTTGCTTGGGGGGGTGTCTTCATTGAGGGGCCCAAAATGGTGGTTTCCTTTGTGGTCTCCCTTCAAAACAACCACCAAAATGGTACTCTCAACAGTAAAACACACATGATACATATATATATATATACAATATACCAAGTGTATATGCATGGATGTGTACAAAGACACGACCATCTTGTATATACAAATATATCTCTCTATCTATATATATATATATATATGTGTTTGTACATATACTATACGCATGGATGCACCAGGAACCCGTAGACAGAAACCGTTTCAGCCGCTCGAGGCACTTACCCCGAGGGCACCGGCTCGGTGGGCCGGCGCTGCGAGATCTGCGGGGCGGACTGCGTGAAGTGCTCCAAGGGCAACGTGTGCCAGAAGTGCCGCAACGGCGCCCCGGGCATTGAAGCGGAATCGGAGTCTGCTGGGGCTGGGTGGGGGGAAAGGAGGGGGAAGGAGGGGAGGGGGTTTGTGTTCTGCGATTTGGGGGGGGCTGTGGGCTGTGGGGCTGTGGGGCTGTAGGGAAAGTAGCGGGGGGGGGGGGGTTGTTGTTTTTGTGGGGGGGGGGGGATTTGGGGGGGGGGGGGGGGGTTCGCTCGAAGCCATGCAAAGTGGGGGCGCCTGGTATCAACTGGGTGAGGTGCTCAAGGCATGTCCAAGTTCCCGTACCTTCCATTTGCTGAAATGTTTTTGTTGTTTTTTTCTCCCCTTGTTGGTTTTAAAGGGGATCTATCACTGGACATGTCTTCTCATTGTTTCCAGGTGAAAGCGCCAATGTAAGATGCTCGTTTTGGTCAGCGTCTTGTTACACTTTTAAGTCGACGCATCGAGGATCCCTGCCCTAAGAATGGAATTGGGGGAGGTGTTTTTCGCGTGGAGATGTCCATTCGTTTCATTTCCCCATGACTTTAGGCGGCTGTTTTTCTCTTGATTTGTCGATGAGGCACTGTTTTGACATGATGCTACGCTGTGAGGTCTATGAAATGAGCAGCGTCTGTTTCTCGGTAGGAGCAAGCGCTGAGGTGGTTTGCTGTTGTCCCTTGAGGCGGCGATGGCTGGCCAATGTTTGCGTGATACTTGTTAGTTTTCCTCTTTTGGGGAATTTCAACACGGCTTGGGTCATTTTGAGATTAGTTAAAACCCTTTTTGATGGGTTTGTGGGGAGCGATGTGTGATCCTTTCATAGGATTCCAACCATAGTTCATGGAAGCCCGGGTTCAAAAAGTCGAACATGCCAGGTTTGTTAAGCGAAGGATTTCCTCTTTATTGTGACACTGCCCCCCATCAAGCAGGGGTTTAGTACTGACGGCCCAAGATTTCAACGGCTGTTGTAGATGTCACAGTCCCACAGTCGGGGCTCTTGTTCTCTCAAAAAATCCCAGGCTGGGTTCACAACAGGCGAAACCAAGCCTTTTGGGGTCTCGCGAATGTTGAGTGACTTGTCAGTGCGAAAGATCGAGTTGGGAAGTGGCTGTGGGTCAACACCAATGGTACCATTTTGGGGTTTTAGGTGCACCACCCATTTTAGAACCTATTTTAGTGGGGATTGGGTCAGGTTCACTGGGGGTACGGGCTTTGGGTTTCGACCCATGGCCAAGTGACCTTGAACTTGCCTTGGCATCGCAGGATGAGGCGCCCCCCAAATGGATTTGGCGGGGCAAAACGGCGGCCCAAATGGGGGGGGGGGTTGGGGTGGTGCACGTCTGGCTTTTTTTTGAGGTTTTGAATGGATCTCACTTTCAAGTTCTCAGCCAATCACTTGCCTCACCGTTCCTTTCACCTTATCCAATTTGACTTTGGGCTTCGATTTTATAGGGTTGCGTTGAAGGAAATGGCCCCAAAGCACCCTAAGTAAGCTGTTTTCCCGCATACATTTCCAGTAACCCAACCCTTTAACAATAAGATCGCGGCTCTGTGAGGCAAGTTCCTGACCCCCGACTTCTGGTGCGAGGCCGCGTGCCCTGACGGCACCTTCAAGAATGGCACAGGAGCGGCCACCGCGAAGTCGCGTTCCGCCGCGAAAATGTGAAATACCTGTTTGTGTTTCCTTCCGCGAGGAACGTGAGGAACACTTTTTTTTTGGTCAAGTGGGATAGGGATAGGTACGCTTTTGGTTTTCTTCGTTTGTATTTTTCTCGGGTGGGATGGGCTTCTTTTAAGCTGTTCTTGGGTTACAGTTCTGCTCTTTTGGACTTCAAAGGGTGAGCACAACAGAAAGGTCGATAATTGATCAGGGCTCCTTAAAAGGTACGTTTTGCCCATTTGAAACACGGCTTTTTCCGCCAAAATAAAGGGACACCACCATTTAATTACAAGGCAATGTTCAGGTGTATAATGTAAGGATCCCTGTTGGTTTGGCATCCTTTAGTTGCCAAGTAACCCTTCTGCCAGGTCTTTTCACAAATCCTGTATGGTGTTGCCAGGCACTGGGTGCAAGTAAAAAATGCGTCGAGACGAGGCAGGGTTACTAGAAGTAGGTTGATCGGTCCCCGCAAAAAAACAAAAAAACATGTTCGGTATTCCAAGAGTTGATTCCCAGTTATTGTTCCACATGTTGTATTCCAAGGGTTGTTCCGACACCACCCATTCCCAATGTGCGTTGGAAAGCTGGTTTTCTGAAGAGAAGGATCCTTTTTCTCAGAACGGAGCAGGGTACGGCGGTATGTGGGCGTGTCTTTTTTAGGGGACCCCCCAGAATGTTTTTGTTTTTGATTTCCCTGTAAAACAACCAACAAGAAATTCCCTCAAAACCTCATGCACCCATGTACGTTTCTTGACTGAACCCAGAAGGCCAGCATGTTTAGAGAATCTCCTTTCAGGGAGTTCCACGTTAGTTTGTAGCGGAGATAGCCTTTTTCGCCTGATCTAATGGGTTGCTTTACCAAAAACAAGAGTGCCTTTTCTCCAGGGTTGTGGGATCAAGGGGTTTCTCCAACCACTTCTGTGATACAAGGGAATCCCCCTTTGAATCAACAAAATAGTCTTTGGGAAGTGGTCATTCCCCACAGCCCTGCTTTTCTTCAATGGCCACTAGAAGGCTGGAATTGGCACTCAGAAAAACGTCAGTTTTCCTTCGTGCCGGGCGTCAAAGACCCGCCCAACAGCGGGCGGTCCAGTGTTTGCAGATAGTCATTATCAAGGGCATTTTAACTTGACTGGTACTGGGTTGGCTCTTTAGACTTTAACTTTTTGGGAAATCAAGGGGTTTTCCACTAAACCCACAAAAAGTGAAGCTTTTTGCAGGGGGTCAACAGCAACCAAGTCCTAATCCGCTTATTCAAGTGGACAGTAACTTCCACACCTTCAAACAGCCCACCCGAAAATGCCCTCAAGCCCAGCTAGGGAACACCGCAATTAGCAAACTCGTGTGGAGAGAAGAAGCTTATCCTAGGTGAACATGCCCTTGATCATAACACTCCTTCATTGTAGATTTCGGGGTTGATCAAAAGGTCCTTTATACGACCATTGGTTGGAGAACCACTTGGGAACATGTTTGCTACTTCCCCATATAGGCAAAGTTCCCTGTGGTCAAGACTGCGGGCCTTTAAGGGAATATTGAGCAACCCCCATATGGGGGTCAAAATCCCGTACTCCCAGTGAACATCCCAATCCCCACCTTCATAGGTTCTAAAATGGGTGGTGCACCTACCCCAAAATGGGATCCCATTGGTGTTGACCCACAGCCATATAAGCCCCGGATGGCCAGAGTTCGCGGGTACCTTCCAACCATTCTTTCCAGGGATCCTTCTTTTCAGGAAACCATCAAAAACCCAGGGGAAACGGATCCGGTTTTTGAAAAGAACGATGGTTGACAAGAATGGAAGAGGAATCAACCCCTAGATTAATCGGTGATTCGGTTTGATTGGATTGGTGGTTTGGAGTTGGAAACTCTTCCTTTTGAAGCCAAATGGGGAACGTACCTCCGAACGTTTCCTCCGAAAGCCAAATGGGGAATTAATCACCCCCTAGATATATGGGTGACTCGCCTTCTTTTTGTTTGGGGCAACCAAAACAGAAGAGGAACTGCCGAAGCTGTGGGGAAGAGGAATCAACCCCTAGAACTTCCGGCAAGGAGCTGTGGGGAAGACCTGTGATCCCTGCCCGGAGAACATGGCGGCCTGCATCCGCCCCACCTATGCCGCTCGCATATAGAGACGGAAGGGCCGGGTTTGACGAGTTTCTGGGGGTCAAAGTCTGTGGTCAAAGTCAGAAAGTCGCAGAGGACACTCTGACCTCCTCAAAAACAGAAACTGGGGGTTATCAAATGGGGTTTTCGAATTTTGTTGTTTCCCTTTATCCTACCACTTGGTGGTGGGGAGATAATGAATGTTTCCGTCCACTGGTTTGGGGAGGACTTGCGGGGACCACCCAAGTACCCACAAACGCAAGGGCCTGCCACCATCAAATTTTCCCGTGTCTGCGTGCTTGTTTTTTTTGTTCTTCTCCTGCCCTGTCTGGGCAAAAAGTCGCGAGCTCACCGATCTGGGGCCCGTGTTTTGTTCGGCCTCTACGGTAAACGCTTCGCGCTGCCCGCTTTTGGGGGCGATTTGGTTTGGAGGCTTCCTTTGATCTCCGTTCATTCCTCCGGGGGAAGGCGCGGGGAGGCTAGGCAGCTGGCGAGAAGCGACGTTCATGCCTGACCGTGGTTGAAAGCAGCTGCGTGAAAGCACCCGCTTAGCAGTGCAGCCACAGCCGGAGTCCAAGCGCAAGGGAGCTCAGGCAATTGGATTAGGAGGCCGGGAAGAAGGATTTGACAGGTTTGCCCAGGCGAGCGGCTGACTTGGCCAGCCCAGCCACCCAGTCAGGCCAGCCCTCACCCCTGCCCACACGGTCGGGGAAAATGTGGTTTGACAAGCATTTAGGAAGGCTCTGACCGGTTGGGGGGCTCGCTTCAAACCAGCTGGAGGCAGTCGGCACATGGATTTGGGCCGCGCAGCATGGGTTGGTTCGGTAATTTCATTCGGGGGCAACGTTTCCCTGAGCTCTGGACTTCGTACTGTTTGGGACGACCATAGCGGCAAACAAACAAATCAATTGGACCTTTGGCAAAAGTCAGAAACCAACTGTAGACGATCGCTTTGCTGTCACTTGTCTAAGGTGGTTTTCACTACCCCCAAACCACTACCATGGGAGATCGGGGGTATACACCCTAAGTGGCCGTATCTCCCATACTCTCGAGTAGTTCAAACAAGAAGTTGTGTATTTGTTTGACAAGGAGCCACCTCACAAGTTGGCAAGAATCCCCACCAGGCCAGGATGTCCACTTTTCTGGTATGTGCCAAACATTGGTATTTTGCTTCTCGATATCCAAGGCCACAGAGTGCAAGAACTCCAAGTACCTCACGCCGCGCGCCACCTGTGAGGACGCGTGCCCCCACGGCCACCCGGCCTCAGACAAGCCACGCCCAAAGCCGGGGAACCAAAAGCCTGGGCACGGCGCGCTTACTGCCGGGGGTGAAGAAAAGGCTTGGCTCAACAACCAGGTTCCTGGACTTTAGTCACGTTTACAAAGAAACATGTTCGTGGTAAACAGAAAGGTTGGTTACTTTATTGGGCCATCCACGCAGGAGGTGAGCCAAGTCCTTTCGTGTTTAAGGGGGGGCTGGATGTACACGGTTCAGGGTTGTTCGGAGTCCACCAATGCACATCTTGCTTCCGGGGACCTGTTCGGCAAGATTCTCCCCGGTGCCAGTCACATCCAGTCACCACACTTTGGGTCTAAATGCCAAGAACAAGGTCAACTTTCGCAGTTACGGGTCTTGAACCGCTGGCTTCAAAGCCAGGCTACTTCCCAAAAGGCGACGGCGAGGTTGGGCGCCACTGCCCGCAGTGCCATGACCGGGCTCGGCAGTTGGGTGGGAAGGGGTGTGGGAAGGGGTTGAGTCTGCAAAACCGCCGTTCTTTGTGTCCAAGCCACGCCCGAAGCCGAGATTGGATTCTCCCCAAGGCTGGCTTCAGGTATTGATTGTGCCACGGGCGTTGCCATGTTTGGTTGGTGAGCAAGCCCTAGCCTTGGGTTTGGCATTTGCTTTCAAGCTTTCAAGCGCACCGCGACAAAGGCCATGGAACTCAGACGTGGCAGGTCCCTTTTCAAGGGCTCAGACTGATTCTGTACGGGGTCGGAATCAGAAGCTCCGGCGCCGCCCGCCCCCTGAGTGGTTGGGCTGGGGTGCGCCTGCGGCCGGCTTCGTTTGATCTGAGCCACGAGTGCTTTAATACTGTGGATGGACGAAATCCTGCACCACCTAAGCAACCCCGGAATGATTATTTCCTTGTACATGGCAGCAAACAATGGTTGCCCATGGTTTCCAAGTGGTGCAGGATTTGTCCATCCACAGGATGGCAGTGATGATTCCTGCGACAGGGGATGGTCAACATAGCCAGTCTATGGTCTGTTTGGGAGGCACATGTGGGATAGTTTAATTAGCCACGTCCATGGAGGGTATAGCAAAGTTTTCCCATGGCGCATGTGTTTTGTGATGATGCTGATTGGTGAAGATGGCTGAATATGAAAGGCCCACTGCTGGGTTTTGTTGGGACTGACGGGAGTGGCCAACCCATTTTCTAGCGCCCAATACGACAGGCCGTTCCTTCAGCTAGAGCCAAGATTAAGAGTACGCTTGCCAAGCTTGAAAGACCACTCTCACCCCCTTATCTACGATATCTACTGCAATTCTGCTTCTTCTTCTTCTTCTTCTTCTTGTTTTTCTTCTGCTTGTTTTTCTTCTTCCTCCTCCTCCTCCTCCTTCTTCTTCTTAGTCCTCATCTTCTTCGTCGTCCGCTTCTTCGTCTTCATCTTCCCCTCCTCCTCCTCCTCCTCCTTCTCCATCGTGCACCTCCACTTCGCGCGGTTCAGCCCGCTGTGGCCGGTCTGTTCCGGGGGGGGGGGGGCTTGTTGCCAGGGAGAAAAATGGCGCGACCCCCGCAAAAAGGAACTCCTTCACTACCTCTGCTGCTATTGGGTTGGATCTTTAGACTTTAACTTTTTGGAGTTTTCCGCAGATTTCCCTTTTCACCGGCAAGAAGTTAAACTTTCTGCTAGGGGATCTACAGCACCTTTGCAAGGGGGTCGATCATTCCAAAGGTGGCAAAAAGACCCCCCTGGTTCCGGGAGCTTCGGAGCTACGAGCACATCGGGGGGTCTGCACAGCAGCAAGATGTAAATGACCGCACAAGGCAGACGCATTTTCTGCAAAGAATTTCCAAGAGAAGAGCCCAACTGTTCCCGATTCCCGACCAAAGTATGTCGCCTAAAAAATCGCGTATCGAATTCCTCCAATCCGTTTGACATGGGAGAAGTTGAGGTCCGTGCCTGCTAGCGGTTTATTCCTTCGTGCTCAGTTTCTAAGATACACGATTTTTGGGGCATGGGTCAAAAAATGAAACCGCCAGGAATTAGACCGCAGGTTTTAGTCCTTTTCATTTACCAAAACAACTCATTCTGAGGTTACCGTATTTTTGACCCACACCCAAAACTGTTTGAGAAGATCATTGCAATGAAAAACGAAGAGTTTGACTTTTCCAACCAACTTCTTTGTCCTTGTTTCCATTTACCAGGGTGCCCATTTTGGCTCCACAGCCAAACTGCCCGGCGCCCTCTCAACTGAGTTCCGGGCGCGCATGTTTTTCGTCGCCGGGCGTGCAGGACGACTGCTACTCCTGCTCCACCAGCTCTTTGTGCACGGAGTGCGACAACGGGAAGTTCCTGAGCCCCAACATGTGGTGCCCGAGGGCCCAGCCAAAAAAACCTCAGCCACTGGGAGCTTCGGGACTCGGACTTCCGGAACGTCGCGATTTGTCGGGTCTGGACCTTTAGGGCGAGCTGGCTGCGGTGGTCAAAAATAGGGTACCCCCAAAAATGGGTTGGTCTGGGAAGTGGCAGCATGGACCAAAACCTGGGGTCCAATTTCCGGTGGTTTAATTTTGACCCACACCCATTTGGCAGCGGATCTTTGGGATTTGACCATTCGCTGTTGAAACAGCGGATTCTTCGCATCGGACTACAAGTTGAACTTTTTGCCGCGGGGGTTGGGGTGAACAGCAACCAAGACTTGCGTGGATTGTTTTTGGTCGGTCGCAAGATCTTGGTCACCAAGGATTGTTTGAGGAGTCCAACCTTGTTGAATCTTAACCTAATGGTGGATGTGATTTACTCGGATTTGTTTTTTGGCCACTGCACGCAGGAACTGAGTGACCCGCGGACGGACTGGTTTGGGGTCGCTCCACTTTGCAAAGTTCAAAGGCTTCCAGAGATGGACGGGAGCCCTGGGCCACCAAGGGAGCCCTCGGGGCATGGCGAGCTCTCCCATGGGGGAGTGGAGGTTCCTTAGGAGACTTCTTGTTGCTTGTTTGCGAATCGTCGTGTTGACAGAAAAAAATAGTCACCAGGGATGGTGGGGCCGCCCATGAGGTTTTGGGCTGGAACCATTTCCAACCAGGACTCAGCCTAACCTGCGCTTGGGAAGTGGGGCTGGGCGCGTCGATCAAGTGTGGCTCACCTGTCCAGCGCGGGTTTCTTGGTGGTGTCCACTTTCTCGGAGTCATCGGCCCACCTCCAGTGACGGGCGACATGAATGCATACCCTGCCTCCCACTAACATGGCACCTGACAGAGGGTCCCTTGAAGAGGAAATTGATCTTCCAGGTACCCTCTGACGGGTGCTATGTTAGTTGGAGGAAGGGTAAAAAGCAAAATCAAGGAGCCTCGCGATCTGGGATTGTGCCGCTGTGCAAGGTTTTGGCGCTCTGCTAGTTCCCTGGACACTTTCCCAGGTGCTGAGGGTTGGGCTTTGCTAACCCAAAAGGGTCTGACGGCCGCAACTAGTCCAGCACCAGCCCCCCGCTTTTCAGGCCCCTGGTGACCCGGTGAGGCATTCACCCTTGACCTTGCTCTTGTTTGTTTTGTTGCATTTTCCCTCGTAGCGGTTCCTTCTTGAATGGATCTCTTGTGACTTTTGATGTTTCCTGAATACCATCCCTTGTTTTCTTAGGTACCTTTCCTGGTGCCGTTTCTTTGCGGATCTGCAAATTTGACCGCCTGAGGCGACGACACATGCCCTGACGGGTACTTCCGCAACGGCACGGCGACGGTCGGGAACAACTGCCCCATGTGCCCCAAGCACGCGAGCAAGTGCATGAACGCCACCCACATCATCGAGTGCAAGGATGCGCGCTGGGATCTTAGAGCAAGGCATGGCGTGGCCAAGTTCTAGTCGTACCCTCCTTCTTCCGTGCTCAAATATCCTTGTCTAGATAAATGGTAACTACGAGTGGGTAATCAAGCCTTAAAGTCCTGCCTTCACAACTGGGCTTGGTTTGCGTGGGGGTCTCAACAAAACCATACCTTCTGCTTGACGCGTAGGCAACCAAGCAGGCAAGCAAGCAAACAAAGCCAAAACAAACCAAGCCAAGCCAAACCAAACCAAACACGCACACACACCGACACAAACACGCGCCCGCCCGCCCGCCCACCCGCACGCAGGCACGCAGGCACGCAGGCAGGCAGGCACGCAGGCACGCAGGCACGCAGGCAGGCAGGCAAGCACGCACGCACGCACGCACACACG